TGCACGTAGAAAAGGACATACTCTGTTTCGTGCCTCTTGCGTTCTTTCTCGCTCGCACAGAGCATAGCGCTCTCTTTCGTCATGCTACGTGCGAGCGAGAGAGAACGCAAGGGGCACGAAACAGAGTATGTCCTTTTCTACGTGCACTTCGGCTCCCACTCCTCAACACTCGGTCTAGATATACTATGTCTATGCTTCAAACAATGTGAAAATTACAAAAGTGAGTAAATTCACTAATTGTTCACTTTTGTAATTTTCACTTTGTTTCAAAGATACACAATCGACCCGCTGTTCCAAGATCTACAGCGACACCAGTACCCAAGAACTAAATAATTTACAGTTTGTGCCATCAGGTTGAGAAATTATAGGCTAGCTGTCAGTCGGTTGTGGGCTGGGGGCCTATTAGGGCCGTGGCATATAGAAAAACTTAAGCAGTAAGACTTAAGACGTAAGCGAATTGACCAATCACGATCGAACAGTAAGGGCCAATTTCACCAAGTCCGGTTAGATTAACCGACGGTTAAAATTAGCAGGATTCCAACTGAAATTATATGAATGCTTGGTTTTCCTTCACCTCTATTTTCTGTTGGCCCTAAGGTAGCCATATTGAAACGTAAGCTACGTTGAAAATTCCGTATGGTTGAAATTCTTAAGTCTTAAGTCTTACTGCTTAAGTTTTTCTATGTGCCACAGCCCTTATAGTTCTTGAGTGAGTTTACTCACTTTTCACATTCTCATCTCACGTGACTTTATTCACCCAATTACAAATGTGTCGAGTGAAGCTGCGAGATCACTAGGCACTTCCGGTCTAGTAATCTCACATTTTCACGCTTTCCTTTGATTTTGGCACCAAGCGGCAAATATTTAACTATCCGTCAAGCCATCAATAGAGAAAAAAGAAAAGAAATTGAATCAATTAAACATGAACGTAACGGATAAACAGAAAAAAATAATATTAAATTACATGAAAGATAACCTATGATAATCGATGGAAATATAAAAATTAACTTGAAATAGGTCTCTCATTCGACTCTATATTACAGACTCGTATCTGTATTGTATTATTATTCAAAGTTGCTTCAAAACATCCCAGGTAGCAAAAGTAGTCTGTTTGACGTCATTTTGACCTAATTTGATGTCAAAATAACGTCAAAATGACTACTTTTGCTACCTGGGATACAATATGTAAAAAAACATTCTAAGACGTTATATTTATATAATTGGCTTCTATTTTGTAACCAAACATTATTATAGCCTTACAGATTATGTTTGTAGCAGTATAATCATACATGTACAGATTTTGTATTACATAAATATAGCGTCATAAATACAGGATTCATCTCTAATGGAACATATACATATACATATACATATACATATACATATACATATACATATACATATACATATACATATACATATACATATACATATACATATACATATACATATACATATACATATACATATACATATACATATACATATACATATACATATACATATACATATACATATACATATACATATACATATACATATACATATACATATACATATACATATACATATATATATATACATATACATATATACAGGGTGTCCCCAATTTAGATGTCAAAACTTTTGGAGCGTGTAGGGGACCGATCATAGACATAGTATATCTAGACTGAGTGTTGAGAAGTGGGAGCCGAGGTGCACGTAGAAAAGGACATACTCTGTTTTGTGCCCCTTGCGTTCTCTCTCGCTCGCACGTAGCATGACGAAAGAGAGCGCTATGCT